ATGCCATAAGTTTGTCCTTTCTCAGAAAATATGAGTTTGAAAGGAAACTGAATCAGACTGTAGCCTAACCTTCTACCTTCTATAATGCCTCTCTCTCTGCGAAATACTGTTTGATTGCCGAGAAAATTGGAGAAAGAAAAATCAGCAAAATATCCGTTCGTTTTTCTTTGTCTATAATGGTGTTTGGGGTGATGGTGGACCTGCTTGTTTTTTGAATTTATTGAACACAATACTGTTAGCGCACAGAATTTTCTCTCACATTCCTCCATTTTCTGTAGAGTCAAACAGTAGCAAATTATTGACAAGCATGTAGAGAGATGTGACATATACTAGAATGAAATCATAGAGATAATTCCAACGCCAAATAATTGAGAAATGATGCTTCTTGTCGGATGACTTTAAGTGGACCAATCCTTATTTTTTCCAATTTGAAAATAAAATTTACCTCCCACTTACTTGCATGGTAAGTGGCTGCTCTCTCTTTCCCAATAGCGTTTTACATTAAACTTTTTTCTATCCAATTCCTTTTGATATATTACTTGCTTTGTTTAATACTATCCTGCACGGGTTAATTTAGTGATCAAACATACCTAATAACAACATAAAAGTTGAGTTTAATTGATACGCGTAAGTTGTAAGTGATTGTATTGATATCATGACTCCATTTGTCGCGTCGTTAGGACAACTTCTGTTTAAAAAACACTTCTAAGTGGTAGAAACCCACTTGTAGTCCAACCATAATAAGGCTTCTAAAATACTCTTTCCTACGTCTTGATGTGAGCTCTAAGAAGTAACGCTGTATATATACTGGTGGTAGTAATAATCTACTTCAGATCCAGTTCAAAAATAAAAAATAAAAACTACTTCAAACAAATACAATTGCTGCCCAAGCCATTCCCGAGGATTTCTTTCCAATTTTTTTTCCAATGAGTCTCTACCTACCATCTTTTTGTCAATATAGATAACGAGGGTGCATGTATTGCTATATTATATATCTATATATAGCAATGCATGTATAAATTTTTTTAAGTACTTTTTTTTATAAACTTATTTAGTACCTCTCTTAAGCAAGGTATGTTTATGCATTTCAATTTTTTTTTCCCCTTGGCTGGACTTGCACCTTGAGTACTTTTGCAACATAGTAGCTAAACATATTTTTACTTCTTTGACGAATTTGATATTTGCTTGAAAAAAAAGTAACTTAAAAAAAATCGCTAATAAACAATAATTAAATGACAAATACAAAATGTTCAATAGTAAAAGATTAAACCCAAACTTCTAAACAAAGGATTGGTATCATGTCACCTCTTCAAACCATTTTCAGTTTTATTTGGTGTCGCAGCTGCCATTGAGATTAGATTTTTTATGATATATTATGACATTGTAATATTAAATTCTAAGCAAATATAAAAAAGCAAAGTTTACTTGCCTGTTTGTCATATTGTCCTAGAAGATCCTCTTAGATCTCCCAGCCTAGCTTCATTAATGGTCGTGTGCTGTAGCTTGTATGATCTCTTTTTCAGAGAAAAAAGAAAAAGAAAAAATAATAATAAATAACACAAACAAAACATTTACCAGATAACGAGTTACGTTTCATCGTCTTTGTACGTACGTACTTGTATATCCCCACCCACACGAGAGGTAGTTATTTTACTACAGTTTTGCTACATGCTAGCTAAACAGCACGTGCTTTACAGGGTGTCTTCATCCAACTTCTTCTTCAAGGTTCTAACTATGGGACAGAAAAAAAGGGATCACCTTCAAATATAGAATTCCGATTCACTGCATACATTGTTTTTATTGGTGTCTTAGTCATAGATTTTTTTCAACTGTTTTATTTCTCTTTAGTCTTCTTCGGTAGAAAATTCACTAGGTATAAGAGAACGGTATATCTATGTTTAAATGTCCTTAAATTTATGTCGACAAATGACCTGCTATAAAAATATATATTATAGGGCATCTCACACCATTTTCGGTCCATCTCTTCTCATTCTTTGGGTCACCACTTAGATACGTCTTCTAAATGTTTTTTATGACTTTATTTTAATAATGCTCTATTTATAGTCAATTTGAAATTAAATTTGAGGACTTAATTTATTTTTATTGTTAAATTAATAGTTAATTGCATACAATACTGAAATTCACTATTGTTTATTTAAATTTTAAATTAGACTTTAATAACATTAATTTTTAAAAAACAAAATTAGTTCCACACTTCGTTTTGTGACGTGCGTGTTTATTTTTAGTACATTTTGTGATGAATTAACCACACCACTACAAAAATGCCCGTTATTATGTACAACGGAGTCGCATTGTGGTCTAAGGGCCCACCAACTCTTTATGTTTTCAAAAAAAACTTTCGTACCCCTAAATTTTTTTACGACCCTTTAAATGAACCGTCAAGTTTTAAAAATTATCTTTTATATATTTAAGTAGTCATAACTCGTGCCTGAAGGCACGATCGAACAAAAAATTTGAGTCTTAAAAAATCGATATCACTATATTAAATAATTTTTTTTTCTTTCATTTATTTGATTAAATCATTCAAAATTTATTTTTACCCGTTATTTTCTTAAAGATATTGACAAATTATTTCAGAATATGTAATTCGATAAATTTTTTTAACAGATCTATACTATCATGTATGAATAATATCTTAAATAAAAATTATGTTAAATTACAAATTAATCAAATATTAAATGATTGAGCATGCGATAGAAATGAGTGATGTGATGATTTTGGGGGATGGGAGGATAAAATTCGACATCTTGTGTGTTTTATTATATAGATTTGTATAAAAATAAGGGAAAATTTTATTCATATCCCCTGTAATTAGGTTTAAATTCAATGACACTTTTTTTCGATTTTGAAATTTCACTATCACTCCTTATTAGTGATTATCAAATTACACCGTTATTGGTGATGATTGATTTATAGAAATATCCCCAAGTATTTTATAGGGTAAATTTTATCTACACCATTTATAAGTAAACCTAACTTTAACAATATCTCTTGTAAATAGACTTAACTTTAACAACACCCCTTCTTGATTCTAAAATTTCAATACACTCCTTTTTAGTTTTATTATATTAGCATTTATTTTCATCAATTTAATATTCAATTTTATCAAATTAATTTGTTTTATTTAATTTAAACTAAATTAACATTTCATCTCATCAAATCAACACAAAATTGATATTTAATTTTATCAAATTAGCATTTAGTTATATTAATTTAATATTTCATTTCATCAAATTAATAATATTTCTCTAATTTAATATTAAGTTATTATTTATTTTTATCAAATCAACATCAAATTGAAATTCAATTTTATTAAATTAAAATATTTAATTTATTAAATTTCATTAATTTAAAATTTAACCTTATCAAATTAATGTCATTTCTTTAATTTAACACCAAATGAACATTTAGTTTTATTAAAACAACATTCAAATTTATTCAATTAACATTAAATTCAATCAAATTAATACTAAATTAATATTTAATTTTATCAAATTAAAACTAAATTAATATTTAAATTTATCAAAATTAAGATCAAATTTATTCAATTAATATTAAATTTTATCAAATAATTTTAAATTTTATATATAAAGTGTGATGTGTGAGGAGCAGTGAGACGACGTTGTGAAGGACATATGATAGCAGAGGAATTAGAAATTGATGAAATTTTGACATTGACTTTATCAATTGTTATTTTTATTATTGAAAAATCATTTTTAATTGTAAAAACTAAAAAAACTTGATTATGTAACCAAATAAGTGATAATATGATGACTAATATTATAACAAATTTATAATACAACGTTTTAAAATAAAAAATTCATTTGAATAATATAATTATTGAAATTACGTGGTGTTTAGATAAAACTTTTCCTAAGATATAACATGTAGATATAATATGTCTTTGATTTTTGTACTATATATATGTACAGTAAAGATGAGCGTGTGATATGAACAGTAAAGATAGAAAACAACTGCATTAGAATATAATTTTGGGGAGACATGTGTCACAGTTTAAAAAGAAAATCATGAAAGATGAGAGTGTGAAAGACAGTCAATGTCTTAGTATAGAAAGTGACCCATTAACATAGGAAATAAAATCAGGGAAATAATGATAAGAGTTGTAATTTGTATTTTAAGGAGAGAGAGACAGAGTTTGAGGGATGAGAGATCGCTTAATTGTCGAATTTGATTGAGTTAGGGAATTAAATTTAGGGATGTTAGTTTTGGAAAGTAAGAGTTTTGAGCGGCAAAAAATTTGTAAGAGTTAATATGGTAAGTCGGATTGAAACGATCTGAGACGTCAATAGCTTGAGACAGTTTGAAATATCGTCGGCCGTTGGATGATGCCTTTTTTTATCTCGAAACGATCTGAACCGTTCTTTGTCTCTGAAATTCAAAATCTTTCTACTTTATTATATAGATTATAATTATTATATTTATTTTACTTTGTATACTCGATTATTGATTTGAACAAATAATATCATTAACAAAAAATTTTTAAGGGTAGTTCAATGACTAAGTTTATTCTTTAATAATTTAGAAGTTTTAAGTTCAATATTTTTTATATTCTTAAATGCTCAACCAACTTTTTCCTTAAGGAACATGTTGTACAGTTGCTCGAGACAATAGTTGTTTTTAAGTATTCAAGTTTGTCAGAGTAATTATGTGTTAGTCTAGACATTCTATAAAACCAAAAATATCAAGAAAGGTGCAAAATTAGTTGATTAAGTACTCCCATTGGGCGAGTATATAAGCATAATTTCTGACGATTAATAAGTGAACAGAAATAAAAGAAGAAAATCAGTGCGTTGATAGCCACATTAAGGAAGACACAATATTCATACAGCTCAGAACCATCACAGCCGACTGTGACACCTTGAAGAAAGCTTTGGAAGGTTCGAAAAGATATGGACAGTGGACACCATTACAGACCTTCATTATCCAACCCATCACGGTCCTATCACACATTCATATTCGACCAAAATCCATCTTATCATCTCTCTCTCTCTCTCCTTCCGTACAACCCTGTATCTTTCTCTCCTACACACACAAGTAAAATATTGAAGATTTAAGGTGTGATTTTGGGTTGCAGTTTTCATGCTTAGATGCTATAAAGTGCCATGGACTATGACCACGTGAGTTTTTTCTTCTGGGTTTCGTTTGTCCAATTGAATGATACCATATAGTACTCAGATCTGTTACAAAAGACAAACCCATGTACAGGATTCATATATATATGTGTTTGTATATGCATACGAGTGTCTCTGTTACCTTGCTGTGTTTAATTTGATCTGAGGATTGTGTCCGGAAAAGAGAAAAGATGGCGCAATTGAAAGCTGTGCGTGATCGGAAATGGAAACAGAGAGTACATTTTTAATTGTCATATAGAAAGCCGGGGTATATGCATATATAAAATGCCACATCCGTAATCAATCAATGCAATTGTAGTGATTGATTACACCCACCTGTCTCCCCCCCCCTCCCCTCCGGGTACAAATCCAAGATGCAGAAGTTGTCTTTCTATTGATTTCATTACATATTATTGTGCTATTACCTTTGGATTATATGCCAAAAAGTAGCTAGAAATCCGAGATTTAAGGCTGGAAATTTATTGAGAATCCGAATACAAGTATATATCTTAATCTTAGGCGGTTAGCATTGTTGTTCTTCTAACCCATTAGCTGCTACTAAATGTAGAGACATAGTAATTTACAGAGAGAGAGAGAGAGAGAGAGAGAGAGAGAGAGAGAGAAAGAGAAAGAGAGAGAGGGCCGGTTGAAACTGGGGGCGAGAACACCTAGGTGGAAGTGGGCGGCTGAGTGGTGAGTGGTGGACATCCGTCAGTTTGGAGGCTTTCTTTGATACGTGATACCGAATAATCGTTTTCGTTCTCCCTCTCCCTCCCTCTCTCTCTCTCTCTCTCTCAAAAACAGAGGAACACTTACTGTAGTGTAGCCCCTAGGCTAAAGACTACTCTGATTGAGAGTCCTTTATTTGATAGGGGTAAAAATATCACAGCCTGTGTTGTGTCTGTAATATGGTTCGTGCTCTGCTTTAATTTCTGTGCAATTTTTAAATCGCCATTAATGATTTTTGGAAGTTGAATGTTTTATACTTTTTTATGGAGAATATATTTCTCAAGCAAATTATTAATGCATTCAACATCATTTGAAAAATAAAAAAAATCCTTTTCCAAGTATAATTGAGTTTTAATATTTGTATGGATTTGCATGATGAGCTTCTCCAAACATAGGTTAATTATAAATCTGCTTAATTGATCCTCCAGATTTCCAGAATTTTTATGTTTTTAGGTGAAATAAGGAAATGGGTTGACATAAATTAAAATATTGGGTGGCTATTTTTGCATATGCTCTGATTTTTTTATCTGAAATTTTCAGAGTGGGTATTCCAATTTTGATCCAAATCAGCTTTTCTCAACTGGGTTTGTGTACTATCTATGCATATATTAATTGATTTTTGTTTTTGTGTCTCTAATTTGCAGAAAAGTGGTGACATTTGAGCAGAAAACAGAATTTGCAGAGAACACACACAGCCTCTGTATGTAGGCCACTTTGTTTCTTGTGCAGCGCCGCTCGTATTTGTCGCTCGTGCATTGCCAATCTTCTTCAAAACCACAGATCTCGAGGTTCATACCAATGCCATCAACCACCAATTACAGTTATTTAAGCCTTTGCTAGTTGAAAATTGAAGTTAAGCTGATAAAATATTTGTTCACATTTCACTCTCTCTCTAGTCTTTGTCTTTTCTTCCTCCGCCATTCTCTTTCTATATTCAGCCCACCCCTCAAACATTACTGGCTCAATACAAAGGACCTTGAAGAATTCTGGGTCTATTTTATAATTCTTGAAATATTTACAGATTGGGCATTGACCTTTGGAAGTAATGCAGAAGCCACAATAATAGGAGGGTCGGTGATTCTTTTGGATTTTGTTTTTGGCTTGCAAGGAATTCGAGGTACATTACAAAGTCTTTGAACCTTGAAGCTTTGGTCTCTGTTTCCCTTACATTTGATTATTATACAACTTCCTGGTGTATTGGGATCTCAATTTCAAGCTATAAAATATACGAACAACGGTTAGGATTACTGTTCTTTTGGGACACGTAGTTGGTTCCTCGTACCAAGCCATGGTTTCATGTATCTATCCCTCAGTGGAATTGCATATTGTGGATGGAATTTAACTGTTTTCTATGGGTAGATGATTGAAACACGGTCCGTGAATTCGGGTATTTTGTAGATGTATGAGGGGTGAGAGGTTGATATATAGAGGAGTGGGTTTTGATGTGGAATTTTGGTTTTGAAACCACTACTAGAAATGCTGAGCTTTGGTGAGGGAGAAGAGTTCTTTTTTGATACTGTGGATTGCTTGTCATCAGAAGAATCTGTTGTTGGTAAAGAAGATTTGGTGTATGATAATTTAGGGTATGAGATTTGGATTAATGAACCAAAGAGTGTTAAGGAACGGCGGGAAAGTTTTTTACGCGGATTGGGTTTTGTTGAATTTGCCTCCTCTGCATATGGCCTGCCACTTGGTGAAGAATCAATGGTGATGCCATTGGACAGGATTAGAGAATGTAGTGGAGCTATTTCGAGTTCTTTTTCGACATCTATAGCTAGTGTAAAGGAAAATCTGGGGGGCGCAGGGAGGGAAATGCACGGTGAAGCCAATTGTATGCTTGATGAATCAGATCAAGATCAGTCCGACGATTTTGCCATAGCCCTTGACGAGACTGCCGGGACTTCTGGGCATACGCAAACTCAGGCTCATATTCAAGAATTTAATAAGCCTGGTTTGGATAAGAAGAAAATGCGGAGTTGGTGGAAACACATCATTAACAAAATGAAGATAAATCAAGGTAAGCTTGCGTTTGAGTTATCAAAACCAAAAGCGGAAAAATCAAAGATAGATAGAATGAAGGTGCGGCAGAACAAGAAGAGGTGTATGGAATTTTCTGCAGTGTATGCTGGACAAGAACTTTGTGCTCACAATGGCTTAATTTGGACAATGAAGTTTAGTCCTGATGGCCAGTATCTTGCAAGTGGGGGTGAAGATGGGGTTGTTCGAATTTGGCGTGTTACATTGGCAGACACCTCCTGCAAAAGTATATTTGCAGAATGCAATTTTACTGATCCGGGGAACGGAGGCAAGTCTGTTTCTGGTAGAAAAAAGTCGAGCCATGCTTCTGTTATAATTCCTGATAAGGTTTTCCAGATTGAAGAGCTGCCGGTGCAAGAGCTTCATGGTCATACAAGTGATGTCTTGGACCTGGCTTGGTCCAAATCTAATGTGAGTCGCTGCAGCATCTAGTTAACCATGCCTAATTCTAGTTCTTTACATTTTTCTTATTGAAAGAATATATTTAAGATTTTATTTTCTTTCAACCGTGGCTTATATGAAGCTAACTGGCTTTGATTGCAGTGTCTTCTTTCATCGTCCAAGGATAGAACTGTTCGCCTATGGCAAGTGGGTTCTGATGACTGTCTTAATGTTTTCCAACACAATAACTACGGTAAATGTCTTAAAATTGGATTTTGGTGTTTTGATGTTTTGATTTACACTAGAATCTCCAAAAGTCTGATGCACTAATTTTCTTTTCTTAAATGGAATCAGTGACATGCATTCAGTTCAATCCTGCTGATGAAAGTTATTTCATCAGTGGTTCCATAGATGGAAAAGTTCGAATTTGGGGAGTTTCGGAGGGGCAAGTTTTGGATTGGGCTAATGCACGAGATGTCGTTACTGCCATATGCTACCAGCCAAATGGAAAAGTATGATTCAGAATGCTTTATCAATCCATGACTTTACTGTGTCATTGCAATTAGTCTTACATTCTTCTGAAGTTCATGACTTCCTGATGATAGTTTAAAGTGTGTTTTCTCTCTTTTGATGGAAACAGGGGTTCATTGTTGGTTCTATCACAGGCACCTGCCGCTTCTTTGAAGTATCAGGTACATAGTTTCCTTATTATGGAGAGTCCTGTTAGTGTATCTTGAATATCAGATTTTGTTTTCCTGGGAAGTTTCTAAATTGGTTCATTCATTGTATAGGCGGCGATCTTCAACTTAATGCAGAAATACATATTCATGGAAGAAAGAAATCCTCCGGCAACAAAATTACTGGCATTCAGGTTTTATTCTTGGAAGTCTTACTGATTTAAATTTCTACATGCTCATTTCAATGTGGATAGTTCGTTAACATGGGAACCCATTCTTGCAGTTTACACAGGAAGAATCTCCAAGAATAATGATAACCTCAGATGATTCCAAAGTTCGGATACTCGATGGGATTGATGTTGTCCATAAATACAGAGGTATAAGAATGCTTTGGTTTTAGTTCTTCAAAAAGTTCTTCATAGGATTTGATATTTTCATTTTAGTCATCTACACTTTTGGACATGTATGTATTGTCAAGCTGATATACCTTCTAGGCTCATCATTATGTTGTAATTCTTCCTAAAGTCGTTTCATGTATCCCTGCCCAGGATCGATATCTGTTGTTTATTTGGAAGAGTCTATTCTTTTATGTCATCCATTGTTACATTGGTCACAAATAATATACTGCCTTTAATTACATTCGATGCTACTGTCAAGGTATTAGTGCAATCTTCTATTTGCCTTGGGAGTAGCTGAGAAATATGTCAGTATTTCTGAAATACTATTTCTCCAACATCTACTTGCTTCCTAGTGCCACTTCTTTCTTGTTGAGCAGTTCCTGCTTGGTATCCTTCTCTATAGCATGTTTGTACTGGGAAGGGTTCTTGGTAATTTTTTGCACTTCTGATGCTACACACTGTTGTTTGTCTCGAATCCGATTTTCTATTTCATTTTATCCTGGTATTTGAAAAGTGTAAGATAATTTTTCTCTTTTCCTTTAATATCTTGATACTAGTGTAATAGTGTATAGAGTACCTAAACACATTTTATGCAAGAGGTTAGATATTTGGGATTTTAGACTTTTTTGAGAGCATAAATGGATAACTTTTACTCTAGCTGTACATTTAAAGACCGTAGTTAGTATTCCTTTGTTGTCAAAAGAGCTAGTGCGAGTAATAGATGCAACAATATTACCTCCGAAGTCGGTTGCCAGAGTATCTTGACTGATTATATACTTCTGCAGATCGACTGGAATTGTTGCACCTACCATTTAAATGCATACCCCATTTACCAATTTACAACATCACCTATGCATTGTACTTGAACCACTTGAATAAGTCGCAAAAAGTTCTTGGCATGTGCAGATATAATTACAGATTGAAAGAGTGAGTATTTACCTTGGTCCATAAAATTCTAATTCTGAATAGTATAATCTATAATTTGGTCATTTTGATAGCATGCAATGAATACAGACAATGTATGTTAAACTAAGATGGATCTAAAGTTTCAAGGAAAGTTACATTCCTCTATAGACATCCCATACAGCTGTATCCATAGGTTGAGTTTTGACATTTTGTTACCTTTATGCATGTGGGATAAATCCTTGCACTGCACTTGATTATTTTATTGGTATGACCCTGTCTTTCCAACTAAATATGTTATAATTTGATTATTACAGGTCTTCCAAAGTCAGGAAGTCAGATGTCGGCTTCATTCACTTCAACAGGGAGACACATAGTATCCATTGGGGAGGACTCTCGCATTTATGTCTGGAACTATGATAACCCGAGCATCCCATCATCCAAACAACCAAAATCTGTACGTTCCTGTGAGCATTTCTTCTTCGAAGGTGTGTCTGTTGCAATACCTTGGTCAGGTATTGGAACAGAACAGAAGGGTTCAAGTTTAATAACACAGGACCCCCAGGGGAGTTCATGTGTTAGAGATTCGGAACGTTTTTCTCTGGCAAGTTGGTTCTCCATGGATGGGTCATGTAAGGGCTCTGTGACATGGCCCGAGGAGAGACTTCCTTTATGGGACATACCAGTTTCAGAACATGAACATGATGATCCGCTTCATAGCAATCATGATCATTGTTGTCAAGTTCAGCATCAACGTTCCAATGCCAGCCACAGCTATGGTGTCTCGTTGGCAACATGGGGGCTTGTGATTGTGACAGCAGGTCGGGATGGAATGATTAGGACATTCCACAATTACGGGTTGCCTGTCAGGATTTAGATGCTTTTGTTTGTCTGAGGTTTCATGATAAATTTCAATCCTGATCGTATAGTTTAGGCAGATTCAGAAGCTAGCGGAGTGGATGTTGTGTTCATGTGAAGTTTGCACATTACTTATATCTTCCAGTTCTTTAAGCATACTTCAGAAGATCAAATTCTTGGCAATGCATTTTGATGGTCGTTTTTGTTGGGGTTGTTATGATGGGTTTTGATGTATAAGCTAGGTCAGGAAAGCATGCATAAATGTAGAAATGAAAAATATTAGATGAAACTGTAAAAAATTTCCCCGGACACCGTTAAAAGGTAATTTGACAAGGAAGGACTCTTCATCATTTGTCATGATTAATGTTAAACAAATAAAAATTAATCACCAAAAAAAAAAAAAATCAAACATTACCCAAAATGCCCCCATATGGTGAGACTTGCGATTATGAGACCAATATTCCCCCTAAAATGATATTGAAAAGATACGTATATCGCTTAACATTAATAATTTAACAATAAAGTAATTTTAACAACTAATCAGCATGACAATTATAACTTTTATAATTAAATATCTATTATCCAATTATATTTATTATTCCCTGTTTGAATACAAATAATCCAAATTGTAAACATATGAAATGTGTCAAAACGCCATTTTTTCTCCCCCTTTTTCCCCTCTGCTCCTAGTCCACACAACACCACCCTCCCAAGTCCCACCACTACAAACGACCCCACACAACCCCACACAACCCCAGACAGACAAAGTTTGGGCAAGTATGTTTGTGGTGTAGGGGAGGTGAGTGGAGGTGCTATGGGAAGGGGAGGAGACTGTGAAGAGGGACTGGACTAGAGGGAGGGGAGAGAAAGAGAGAGAGAAACAGCACAGAGGTGACAAAAATTTTAAATGGGGTCCTATTAATATTAGATCAAACACATGTCTCAGACAAAAAGTATGAGAAATTGCAAACCACTAAATTTAAAATTCTAGATTAATAAAGTAAAAAACTGATAGCGGGGTAAGCCCTTAAAAATTAGACCCTCGATTAAATTCTGGGTTGGAAGTGTAAGGGGGCTTTGGTGCTTTGTGTTCACACTTCATAGTGGGAGAGAGAGAGAGAAATGGTGCGACAGAGACTAAAAGGTAATATGTTGGTTGTAGAGAGAGAGAGACTTTGAGTGACAATAAAGGGTTTGTGTTGAGTGTTGCTAGGCATGGCACAACTTTCTAGGTGTAGATCAAACAAGCTTTAGGTTTCTGTATAGTAGATCGACGATTTTAAAAGATCAAACACTTGGGTCTATCAATTCAACTTTGAGTTGTGTTTGATAGATGTTTTGGGCCTTTTGATCTAGCCCATTCAAAACACATACATCCTTAACTTTTTAATTTGGGGCCCAAATTTTATAGAAAATATGGGGTCTTAGGCGGTAGAGGTGCAACTTTGGCGGACCAACATGAATTCAATCCGAATCAAACTCAAAAAAAACAGGGCTTGTGTTAGAATTTTAATATTTGAGTTGGGTTTAGGCAAAAAAAACCTCAACCTGAATTGAATTTGGGCAAGTCTCGAGTTGTCGAGTTCAACCCAAATGTACATAAATATATAAATATATTTAACTAAAGTTAGTATTTATTTTCACTCTTTAGAGTCCAGACTTTCACTTTACTTCAAGTTTTCAGCCCTACGCCTGCATCACTCTCAAAAGTTAGATCCCTCTCTCACTTGTCACTCCTCTCTCCTCAATCGTCACTCATCTGAGTTGTCTTAGACTCTCAACCTTCCTCTCTCACTCATCACTCCTCACTCTCTCTTCATATCAGATCATTTGAAAAAATTAGATCTACACTTGAAAAAATCAAATTTACACTTCAAAAAATAACCCGAATTAGTGACTTCTTCCCATTTCACCAGGGTTCCAAACGTGGCCCTAACATCCGATGAGGCTTCCTTTGATTTGAATGAATGAGGAACGAAGACGCATGCAAGAGAAAAGAAAGCCCCTATTTGAGCATGAGCCCTAGTACATTGACCTCTCATAGACTTAAAACTCCAATTTTTGGCTATTCTATTGTTAACCCGAAATCAGCCTGAATTAAGTAAATCAAATTCAACTGGAGCCTGCCAGAATTAAACTCGAGCAGTATTTGGGTTGAAGTAGGGTTAGGGTTAGGATTAGGGTTAGAGTTAGGATTATATACCTAGGGTTGACTTCTCAACCTGTCCGAGTTGCACCCTTACTAGGAGGCCATCTAAATGGCCTAAGCCTAGGGGGCATCCCTGCCATGAGAGAGAGAGAGAGACATAGATAGCTAGATAAAGAGATAGAGAGAGAGAGAATGTTTGTGTTGGGTCTTTATCTTGGATGTGGGGATGTTATGGGCCATGGTTTTGGTATGTGTAGTTGAGTTTAACATCCCTACCACTACCATCACACCCTTGCTACACCACCCATCATCGCCACCACCCACCACCCTCCATTATCGCCACCAGTAGCACAAAAAATATTTTGCTTCCACCACCACTATCATTCTACCACCACCAACCTTCGCCCCCACCACCACCTACATAACCATTACTACTACCACCACCATCGCTACTACACTATATCAACCACCACCACCCACGTTCGCCTCCCCTCCATCGCCATTCCACCATAATGATCACCACCACCCTACCACTTCACCACCCGCACCACCATCATCAACCAACCAACCCCACCCACCTTCATTGTTTCCCAGTTTTTTAAGCATACTTCAGCAGGTCAAATTCTTGGCAATGTTTTTTGATGGTCTTTTTGGTTCGGGTTCTTGTAATGGGATTTGATTAAAGCTTAGTTAGAAAAGCATGCCTTGCAAATTTGATGTATATATGCACAAAAGTAAAAATGAAAAAATAGTAGATGAAACAGTAAAAAAATTTCCACGAACATCGATAAGAGGTAAATTTTATAAGGACCTCTCAACATGTGTCAAGATTATAGGGACACAAACTTAAAATAGTTAAACTCTCTGACAAATAGATGTTAATATGATTGACATTAATTAATTACTAAAAGCATTTTTGGGTGATTTTATTTTCGAAAAACTCATTATGACTTTTGGGAGAAATTAAAAAGTGTGAAGTAAAAATGACACGAAAAACGATTAATTCAAAGTTAATAACTTTTGGTTAAAAACACAAATCCAAATGGTTACATCATTTCATAATCCACAATTAACACCTTTTGATTAAAAGACACCATTACAAATTGTTATCATATTTTCATAAAATCTCATCTGAAATCTCTTGGAGTAAAAGACACAATTTCAAATGGTTGTGTTCTTTTCATAAAGTCACCATTGATACATTTTGAACCAAAAAACACAATTTCAAATAGTTGCACCCTTTATGAAAAGTCACTATTGAGCCTATAAATAGGTGATGCCTTACAGTCCAAAAATATACAATTGAATAATTGTATACTTCCTACTAGAATTGCTCTCTCATTCTTCTTTCACTATATTCTCCCAAATTCACATACGTTTATTATTTCTATTTAATCTGGTATCCTATTTTCTGTAGAATTAGAACGCTAGAGGTTGACTATTTGATTTCCTTAAGGTATTTGACTACTGTATTCAAACGTGCAATATGTAGGCAGGTTTGAAAAACTTTATTGTATCTTGAAAATAGATTTGCAAAATTCTCAATTCACCCATTTCTAAATAATTGGTAGGGACAAATACTGTTTTTAGTAAACTATTCTCGTACATGACTTGAAGCAATTTTCAGTGTTGCAGTGTAGTCCCTACAAAAGTTTTCAACGGAGTAATTACCCCAGATTTTTTATCCAACAATCTAAAAATAATATTTATTCATGAATTTTCTTCTTCAGCAAAATCACTCTATCATATGACGGAAAGTATCGTCAAGTTGGATCGATTTGATGGTGGGAATTTCCTTCGTTAGTAAATGAAATTGTAATTCTTATTTACTACATTGAAGATTACCCAAGTGTTGACCACGCCAAAAACCATATAACAAGAAAATGAAACAATGACAAATGTACAAAATCGGATAAAGTGGGAGCAAGATGACTATCTATGCAAAGGGCACATTTTGAATGCGACGTCTGACTCCCTATTTGATCTTTATCAAAGAGTAGAAATTTCCCAATGAGTTATGGGACAAGTTGGAAGCCAAATATCCAATAGAAGAGGCGACAAGGAAGAAACTTCTAGTTGATCAATTTCTCAACTTCAGAATGGTGGATGACAAGTTAGTACTCAATCAATTTTATGAAATTCAACGTACTATTAATCAGTTTCAACAAAATAGCATGATTATGGATAAATCTATTATTGCTTCTACAATCATTGAAAAACTCCCTCAATTATGGAAAGGCTTTAGAAAAATTCTTAAGCATAAGAAAGAATATATATCTCTCTCGAGAGAAGTGAGAATCAAGAAAAACATGTGTCCAAGGTTCATGGGGTGGAGGATGGAAAGGAGACTAAATAACTTTGTTAACATGGACAGAACAATCAAAAGAGAAATAAAAATGATAAGGACTAGAACAATAATAAAAAGCAAAAAGGTAATTGCTTTTATTGTCACAAAGTATGACACTTGAAAAAGGATTGGTGTTTCTTTAAAAGAAGCAAGGAGCATATTCTCGAAGATGATGGTTTTTGGTGGGTTGATTTGGGTGAAACAAGACATATTTGTGAAGACAAAAATCTATTTACAACTTATGAATTAGTTGAAGATGACATTACTCTCTACATGGAAAATTTTGATATCGCATTGGTAAAGGAAAAAGGAAAGATAGACATTGAATTCACATTTGGGAACATCATTACCCTAAACAATGTCTACCATGTGCCAGAAGTTAGAAAAATCTTGTCTTTGGAAGTCTCCTCGACAAACATGGTTTAAACTTTGTAATTGAGCCAGGTAAATTTGTATTGTCCAAAGGTGGAGCCTTTGTATGATCAAACTTATATCAATAAAATGTCTATTTCTTCTTACTTAGTTGATTGTCTTTGTTTATATTTTGGTAGATTAGGGTATATTAATACTAGAAAAATTGATGATATGGTTAAACTGAATTCAATTCCTACGTATGAAAATGACATGGTTTACAAGTGTAAAATTTGCATGCAAACTAAAATAACTAGAAAACCATTTTATAAGGTTTAAAGAATTACATCTTTGTTAGATCTAGTACATAGTGATGTTTGTGATTTGAATGGCACATCTACTAGAGGTGGCAGGAAATATTTTATGACATTCATAGATGACTACACAAAATTTTTCCATGT